ATATATGTGACAGCCCCTCGTTTGTTGTCCTCTTCTCTCTCTCTGCCTACGGTTTACCGGGCAGTTCTGTTTGTGACGATATATATATATATATGACGATATATATATATATATATATAAACAAAAGTGTCCATACTGCTTGTTGCTTTCGGAACCCCGCTCATCACGAACCGTCCTAGCTCAGTTGGCACACCCATGAACTGTTAAATTTTAGACCCCAGGTTTGAATCTAGTTACAGGGAATTGCAGGGTGCTATGCAGGCTGTAAAGTTGTGTAAACTAACTTGTTCGTTTAGTGTGTCTTTGTAGTGGTTTGCTTGGCAGTGTTTGATCCCTGGATCTGCTCTGCTGTTTGGTGAATGCTTTTGTTTTGCCTTTGATTCTTTCCCCTGCTTGGATTCGATCCCAGGTCTCAGGTCTGGTGGTTTAACATTGTTGTTTATTTGGGTCCGGCTTATGAATCAGTCCCTGGTTTAAGGTTTAGGGTTTAGGGTTTACCATTGTTGTTTATTTGGACCCGGCCCAGGAATCGATCCCTGGTCCTCTTGCTTGCTGAGCCCGTTTCAGGAAAGCGGTAACTTTTGTTTTCTTTCCCAGTTGAGGAGGGGCCCCCACTTTTTCAGCCCTGGATAAGGCCCCCAGCATTGAAAACAGTGAACCTTTTGGGGATAATTTTTTTCAGCTTTTTGTTTCTTTTTTTTCTTTTTCTTTTTCTTTTTGGTGTGCTGAGTTTGGTGTTTGTTTGAGTCTTGGAGATGACTGTTTTGGCCAATGCTGAAAATCCTGAAAACTGAAAAGAGCTAGGCTACCAGCCGGGCCTCCCGGGTCACCCAATTTTCCCGGATGGCCCGGCCGTGCAAGGACCAGGGAAGGTCCTAGCACAAAAAAAAAAAAATCAAAAAATTCAAAAAAATCCGAAAAAAAACTATGTTATTCAAAAAAAAAAACTCAACAACTTTTGCCTCAGGGTCACATCGGGATTCGTTACCATTTTTTTTTTTTTTTTTTTTTGGCCCGGCTGGGCAAGTGACCCCGGGCCACTCTGGTAGCCTAGGAAAAGAGCAAATTTCGCATGAAATCACACTTTTGCCTTGGGGGTTAAGGCCCTTTTGATCCAATTTTTTACTTGTTTTTTTTGCTGTTGGTTTATTTATTGTCCACTCTATGGCCCGGTGCCAAGTCTGGCTTAAAAGGTGTGGGACGTTTGTTATAATGACCCTGAAAAGACCCTCCTGAAAATTTAGGGCTCTGTTAATAACCGCTTCTCATGGGGTCAGGCCAGTCAGAGGCTGCCACTTCAAGGAGCTGTCAGCAGAGTGGTGGTTTGACTATCTCTCTTAACACCACTTCCAGAATAACCATCTCACATCACCGCTCTCTAGTCCCACGATCCTGGGTCTTCAGTTCCACCCCTCCCTGTTTCCACATTATCGTTTCGCCAGTCCCAACCCCCCCTGCTTCCCCAGTCTCAACCCCCTCGTTCCCCAGTCCCAGGACCTCTTTCTCCCAGTTCCAACCCCCTCGTTTCCCGGTCTCGACCCCCTCATTTCCGAGTCTTAACTTTTCTTAACCCCCTCTTTTACCCAGTCTCAACCCCCCGGCTCCCCACTTCTGACCCCCTAGTTCCCCAGTTCCAACCCCCTATTTTCCCGCATTCTGCGTCCAGCGCCCCAGCCCCCAGGTTCTACTGTTTACCCAGCCCCAAGCCCTTTGTTCCTTACTTAGTCCCACATCCCTGTTTCCCCTGTCTCATTGTCCCATGTCCCTGTTTCCCTAGTCCCATATCTCTGCTTTTCCAGGCAGTCCCACATCCATCATTCCCAGGGTTAGTGGAACACTCCTTGTCCTCCACGCAGTACCTCTATACTCCACCTGCCCAACCCAGACCAGCAGTTAAGTCAACCCAGACCATCGGTTAAGTCAACCCAGTCCATCAGTTAAGTCAACCCAGACCATCGGTTAAGTCAATGCAGATCAGCAGTTAAGTCAACCCAGACCATCGGTTAAGTCAACCCAGACCATCGGTTAAGTCAACCCAGATCATCAGTTA